TTGCCATGGAGGATGTATTTTTTAAAAGTCTTTTTATAGTTTGATGGCACAACCCTTTTTATACTCTACAGTTTGTCTTCTAAATAAAACGAAGGACTTTAATTGACTGATTTTTTTGTGAGCTGAGTCCTGTGCCATGATTTGATTTCTGATGTCAAGGCTCTGGAAGCAAAATAACTTAATCTCCTTTTTACTCTTTCATTCAGTTTAAACTTTTTAGAGCAAATTAAGCATCAGTGTTATAAGGATAGAATCCAAACTGGCATGAAAAAGGCATTTAAAAAATAGCACCATGCTAGTGAAAAATATAAACATGCTGCGAACAGTATACGTTACAAGATGATCAAGAAAAAGCTGACAAAAGCATACTATTGTTAGGGAAAGTTTTTTAAGGAAGATATGGCTGTTAAATTTGAAACGCTACTTACAGCTAACTCAATATTCAACCCATTACAATCATCGGTCCAAAAATCATTCTCAAACAATCTCCTGTTATCTGCCCCTTATGTTTTCCATAAAGAAGATTTTCCCCCTCAAAATCAAATAATTCTTAGTTATCATCAACTGTGTCAGTTTAACTTATATTATTTAAAGGGGTAGAAATGTGGAAATTTCCATATTTACATGACAATAAGATTTCAAATGGTGTGTTCTGTAGTTATTGATGTCAAACTCCAAACTCTCAAAGTTTGGATTATGGCGACTTCTTTAAATGCTTAGATCAAAGAAACACGTGTTCTGGAACTCTTAACCATTCTTATAAACCAAGCATTGGTTTACAATAAGGGCCAAGTTATGCATCATTGCTGCTTTGAAGGTTTATGTAGGTGTTTTACTTTTAGCTTTGTTTCTTTCAGAAACTTGTTGTTTATTTATTTATTTTTTTGCATTTTGAGAAACTAAACCCTTTATCAACAAGTTGTTTTTTTCTGTTCTCTAAATTAGGCTCTGTTCTGGAGAAGGTCAGCTGTTTATTACCTGTGCTGGACACTTTTTCCCTCTCTGGGGTTATGATGTGGCTCAATGCCCACTAACTTGCAATGAAAAACAATGGACACAAATGTTTATAATAGTCTGAGATAAACATATAAAAGGCATTTAAAACTTCAACTACTGCTGTTTAAAAGACGCAAACATAATAATAAACCATTGCCGTTAAAGACTTCTTTGCTTGTTCAATCTTTGTGAGACAATAGCAAACGTAGGCAGGTTGTAGTTGTCATCATTACAACTTCTTGTATCAGTTTTGTTGAATCAGACAAAAGCTTTAGGAAATTTGTCAAATAAAATTTTGTTGCAGGTCAACATACTTAATTTTTTTGTTGATAGATTATTCACTAAACACATCCATCTACCCCTTTCTACCCTGATCACTGGTTTCTATACCCTGCACTAGTTTATTTATGTTCTTCTTTTATAGCTAAACTCAACTTCAGAAAAAGTTTTAACTTCAGTTTTTTTGATCGTTGTGACAGTTTATTTTACTAAGTGCATTTTTCTTTTATTTCTTGCTTAAAATAAATAAAATGTATTCATTCTTTTCATCACACTTTAAAACTTTAGCTCCAAATTACATTTCAAGGCAATACAAACTAAAAAAATGTTTTCAATTATAGCCCTATTATACTCACTTCCCAGTTTTTTTAATGTATATATATATATATATATAAATAAATATATATATATATATATATATATATATA